CTTGTCAGCAATTTTAATAGTATATTTCCCTAAGCAAGAATAATATGCCGAGAAGGCTTGAGAGCTTCCAGTCATGTGGTCCGTGACACCTGAATCAATGATTCATTGACTAGGAGCAAAACAAGTGAGTTCATAGGATTTGTACATTGACGAACGTGGGAGGTCGGCGGGTCGGAAGAGAGTGGATTGGATCCATGAAACTTGATTAAGTTCTCCATTTGACTTTTAAGAGAATTGGAGGTTTTTGGATCTTTCTAGGTAGAGGTCGGTTGTACTGTGTTGGATCCTGATGTCGTAGCAAGACCCTTGGTAGCGGAAGATTTTGCCAAGGGTTTGGATGTAGGTTTTTCGTGGAGCATCCAACACTTATCACGAGTATGGTTGGGTGTGTGACAAAAATTACATGTAGGATGACAAGCCCGGGGTTGAGCAGTATTAGAGACCAAGCTAGATGCCTCGACAGACGGAGTGGAAGTACCAAGCATGACAAGTCTCCGGCTCTCTTCGTGATGAATCTCAATGAAAGCAACCCGAGTAGAAAGGGTACTCCGACCAATGATATGGCCCTGGACTTCGTCAAGATCTTTGTTGAGGCCTCCCAGAAATTGGAACATGCGCTTCTTTTCTACAACTTTCTAGAAAAGAAATAAGTTGACCGGAGATTCCCAAGTATAGTCATAATATAGGTCGCATTCCATCCATAATGCAACTAGATCATTATAGTACTGGGTCACGGTCCTGGATCCTTGTTTTGCCTCACAGATTTTCTTAGATGCCTCAGATTTGATTGGAATTCCCTGCGCCTGAGTAGGTATCACGGACTGCAGTCCAGAGGGCACTAGCTAAAGGAATGAACATATATGATCGGCCAATAGAAGTCTCCATGGAGTTGATCAGCCATGACATGACCATGAAATTCTCTACTTCCCAATCTCCATATGCTGGGTCAGTTTTCGGAGGCTCGCGAATCATACCTGTGAGGTGACCGAACTTCTCGCGTCCTTTGATAAATAAAGACACGGCTTGGGACCATTGGAGAAAGTTACTACCATTCAACTTATGGTTTTCTGATCAAGAAATTGTAGATTTTCGGTCCTCTGGTTTGCAAGGGAGCAGAGGTTGGAATTGATCCTCCGATGTAATCAAGCATACCTGCTGAAGGTAATTCAGTTTTGGTTGAATCTGACATAATTCTGACAGAGCCAAAGGATATGTTTTTGTGATTCCGAGACATCGATGAATTCCAGTAGGGTCCCGGTAGATGGATACAACTTCAGGAATTCAGATATCTGCAGGATATCTTCAGGAAGATAAGCGGTCCTCACAGTTTCAGCGGTTGTTTGGTATCGCAGAAATAATACGGCAGTTGTTGGAAGGAAATAAAACAGCGGCAGGGAAAGAAATAAAACGCTGCTGTAGGAATTTTCTGTAGAAGCGGAAGGGAAAGAAATAAAACAACTGCAGTTGGAATTCAATAAAACAGCGCCAGGGAAAGAAATAGAACAGCTGCTCTTGAAACTTTCTGTAGAAGCGGCTGCTGCGTATGGCAGGGAGCTACATGGGAAGCCTTGAAATAGAAGATCAGCGATTGTTGAATCTTCCTGTAGAAATGTCACATGTAGGGCCAGGCAGACAAGGTCGGCGGCTAGGTGGCAGCTGCTGGAACTGGCAAAGGAGGTCGGCAGCTGCTGGATCTAGGGTTAGACTCTGATCTTATGTTAGAATAGAATGCAAGATGATTCTTATTGATGCAAAGAGGGGTATACCCATTATAGGATATATTAATAAAGAAACAAATAAAAACAGAATAAAGGAATAAAGGAAAGAAAATAAAAAGTAATTAATACAAGATCCTTTATTAATATATATTCTAATATTCTAACATAGACAATCAGGGGATGATGCATGAGGGCTGCCCAGGTTGATGGCAGCGAGGTGGAAGGGCAGAAATGATGGCAGCTGCAATGAGGATGCGTCCGGAAGCTAGCCGGCGGCTAGCTGGCCGGTGGGGGAGGCTATGAGGAAGGCTGGGAAGGGGAGGCAGTCTATTAGGAGGGTTGTGTGGGTTGTTGGGAAGATGGCGGCAAGGCTAGCAATTGTCTGGAGGTGTTAGCAGCGAGGATGGAGGATTGGAACGGTGATGTGGGGTGCGGTGGGCTGTCAAATAACTAAAGGAAGGATGTCTTTGGCAGGGCAGCGAGGAAAAGGGTTGAACAATGAGGAAACTATTGGAAAACAACAAAAAGACCACTATTAGCGCGGCAGCAAGGAGGAATGTAAGACAACGAAGCGGGAGAGATGTAGGGGTGTTTGGGAAGAATAAAGAGCACCTAAAAACCAAGATACAACTCTTGCAGGGAAGAAGAGACGTCGGCAGCTGTTCTAATACAAAACACATGAAAAACTAAACCTAGAGTTTTACGAAAATAAATATAAAATAATAAAATAACTAGGAGTGACCTAAAAGAACTGTTGACACCTCAACTGGGCCCCCACTTGGATCAGTTCAGTGTATCGTGCAACTTTGCTCGAGAGCTGTAGTGCCCCCTATCGCATTAGGTTTTTCATCCGGGCAGGGAGACTTAATTTTATGTTATTAGTTTATATTAAACCTTATGAATTAATAACAAATATTAAGGTGTCAAGAAATCAAATTAAAAGCAATGAGAGGATAGATTGATAAAATAAGTTCTAGTATGGTAAGTTTAAGGTTAATTTTTGATTTGAGATTTGATATATTTAATTAAAAATATTAATTTTTATTTTTTTTGGGATAAATGTTAGAAACAGGTAAGGAATGATTTTTGTATTAGAAATTAAGGAAAAGAGGTAAAGATTTATGTATTTATGTACGTATGTAAGTTAAATGTTAAATTTTATAATTTGGATTCAATGATTAGATTTGAAAGGACATTTGATTTAAAAATGATGATTATGAAAATATTTTATTTAATTAACTATATTTAAGTCAGTTATAGAAATAAGATCCTTGTATATGTACTTTTATTTGATATAGGTGATAGTTAAATAAAGTAAAAGGGAAGATTAAGTTCTTAAAGTTGTCTTTGAAAGTTTAAGGTGGGTAATTATATTTTTAAATTTTAGTAATATTTTATTATTTCTAAATGTATTTTTTATTTAAAGTATGCTCTATTCCCATGTTATTTAAATTACAACAGATTTTTAATATTAGTAGACAAGAAAATTTGCATGTCAATTAGTTGCACAATTATTTTCATATAAAATGATTAGATTAGTGTATGACATTTAGATTTTAGTAGTTGTCTATATGTTAGATTATTATATGTCCTTTAGATTCTAGTAGAGATACATTTATTCATTGATAGATAAATACAAACTATCTTATAAGAAAATAATGTATGCTTGAAAGAATGAAATGAAAAAGTGTTTGTATGAATGTCTTGTGTGTGCATGCTAAAAGGAGTTCATCCCCTTATGGTATTGATAATAGACGTCAATGTCCTCACATGTATAGATGTTTTCCTACTACCTCAGACAATTGTATAAGTTAGATCACTAAATAGTTGTGCTGATAGTAGAGTATCGACCAGTGGTGGGTAAACACCCCATCACCTTAGACAGCCGTGTAATTTGGATATTGAATCATTGTACCGAAGAGAATATCGGTTAGGAGAAGTAGTCATATTTTTGCCTCAGACAATAATGAAGATGTTTTGCATCCTGTTGTGTCGACGGGGTATGTATCAACTAGGGGTGTTTTAGGTATAGACAGTGCTCTTGAAACAGATGTAAAATTTAAGAGTAAAACATATAATAAATTTTAAGAGGTTGCATTTTGAAATGTAATGTAAAAGTTGATGTATGTATAAAAATTTAGATTTTTTTCATGGGCATATTTAGATTTCTTCCATGATTAAATATGATGAATATATGATTTAAATTATTAAATAATTTTCTAGAATATATTAAGAAAGATCAATATACATATTGCCTTCTTTTACATGGGTTACTATAGTTTAGAAATGTAAATTCTCCATTGGATTATCATGTATAACTCGTTATAATGTTTTAATATTTTTCAGGTTCAAGATTTTAAATAAAAGATAGATACTAGAGGAGCGATTGCTTACAAAAGACGAGATCGACAACCCGAAAGATAAACTTTTCTTTGTTAATTAAATTATTTTTTGTATTGGCTCTTCTAATTAATATTTGGATGGTAAACTGTTAGTGATAGAAAATAAAAATAGAAAATTTTAATTTCATCATCCGACCATCCTATTCTCATATTGGAAGTTTCAAGCCCTCCAGCCGGATCGTGACACATTTTAGACATTAATTGATTAGATCTGGAAAGAATAGAGAGTGAAATTACATAAGAGCATGGTATTGTGGTAATGCGAATGGAACTTACTTCATCGCAACGATTCTTCCCCGTTCAAGAAATGATTGTTTCTTGGGGCATTTACATATAGTACACAATTCTTATGTATTTAAATATCTCACACCTAAACATTCAAACTTACAAACATATCACTCAAATCATAATATAACATCTGGTATTGCCATTTTTAAAAGTCAAATACACCTTTTCATGCAAAGGTTTAAAGTGCACCAAAGTGTTATGTGTAAATATGAAGTTTAGGTTTGAGATATGTAAATACATAAAAATTGTTTACTACACATGTAAATTTCCCTTGTTTCTTTCCAAGAAATGACTGCTGTATTGAACACTAAATCTCTCTTTTTTTTTGGAGCACTTTTTTATCGCGTTTTAGCAGTAAATTGAATTCACTAACCAAATTTTTGTTCTTCATATAGAATTATGAGTTTCATTGCATTTCATGTTATTCAGTGAAATGATGCTTGTGGAAAATTTTTCTGTGGTATTCTATGTGCTTAATCGGTTGCATTTAATATTAGATGGAATGTGTTCTACACTGAATTTTTTTCTTCTAATTGCTAGCTCAGTGCATGCTTAAGCCTCAACGTTCTATTCTATGCAATCATTTCTTTAGGTCTGTAGAGAATGGGAAGCAAAAGCACTAGAAGTTGATAAAGACGTAAGGTTGCTACTTATTCGTGTAGGTATTGTTTTGGGACAAGATGGTGGTGCTCTAGGTTTGTGCTAATGCCTATTATATTTTATAGTACTTTTATGTCAGTTCTTGCATTGAGATTATGATTATGCTTGCCTTGTCTCTATTTTGATTTTTTTTTCTTAACTGGATATGCTTATTCGTAACCCATTTGATTATTTTTTATGACAAGACATTTGTGCATAACATCAAAATCTTTGGCCTTGAGCATAATGTAAGAATTTTGGGATCAAATTTCACAGAATGGCTTGCATTCATAAAAAACAATATCATTATGTCCACATTTTATTATAATTATTAATTCATGTATAGAAGAAGATGATAAGATTCTATTCATGCCCATAAGCACACTCATATCAACTTTTAATATCAAGCTGGCTAGTACAGAAATAAGGCCTTTTGCTTAATTTATTAATGCAGATATTACCTAACAATAAATTTATAATCTTGTTACTGATTTTCTTTTCTAAAATTAGTCCTCAACATACATGGAAGTCCATAATTCATGATACAAGATGGGCTCAATATACTTAAAGAAACTGCTATTGCTAGATTTAAACTTTAATCTTGCTTAACCGTATTTAACATCCAAACCACCTTAGTTTTCCTTTTAATCTCTTCCTTTTTTTTTTTTTTTGAGAAAGCTCAATGGCTAATATATTAAATAGAAAGTATGATACAAATAGATTGTGTGGGAGGGCCCAAACATGGTACCCTCACCACATGATAACCAGCACATTGAAATGGTTCCAAAAAGGGAAAATATAAAAAAATACATGAGAGACAAAAAGAAAAAACTAAAAAGTGTCAAAATAAGGAGTATCAGGTAGCTAGAGAGCAGCCCAATTTTCTCTTGCCTCTGCCTTTAGTTCTAGAGAATGAGCCAGCTAATAAATTGGTAAGATGAGCGTCATTGTCAGTGATAACCAATGTGTCATCCAATAAATTTCAAAGCTCGAGTCGGCCTCCATTATTCTTCTTCCTCCTGGAATAGACCTGTCATTCCTTATTCAAAGAATGGCTCACCTGATCAGTGGATTGGTTTAAAGTGTGTCGGACATGTGTAGGGCGTTGAACATTAGAAACTGCTACTTATTGTACCAACTGATCTTTAATCGGATCGAAGAGCACTCTCGTGTGTCTTGGCATGTGAATGAGTCTTCTTCAATAACAGTGAGTGATATAAGCACATTTGGATCTGTACTTGTAGTATGGTGTTCTTCATCAAGAACTACGGTGTTAGAAATGATATGTTTAATGATGTGACCTTTCAATCTCTTCCTTAACCTTGTTTTCAACACATGTTAAATGATATGATCTTTTTCAAAATCAAGTAAATATCTAAAAAACTGAAATACATTTAGCAAATAATTGAGTTTTTCTGTAAGGCCAAGATAGTTTTTCTACACACCTTTTACAAAAACTTTTCCTAACGTTGAATTTAAAAATGTTCTATGGATCACACCCAAGGAATTGAGCGTTGGACCGTTGAGAGGATTCAATAGTGAAATAAAAGTAGAGTGCATAATAACACAAGTTTTCGGGGAAGGGATTATGTAATCCCTTCTTGAAGAAATGTTCCTCTATTTATAGATCATAGGGGGTGTCTAGTAAGTTTCATATTTATCTATGTTTTAATAGGAATGTTACAAGTAATTAATGCACCAATATATTTTTACATATTTGTAACTAGCTCTAGATTCTTTAATATTTGTAATTGTTGTTTACACTTTTTCGTATTCATAACTATTTGAAGTGAGCGTTAATAGTCCACTGATATTTACCATTCGATCGTTTAATAATCATTTGGTCGGCTGGAGGTTCTTCGGTCGACTAGAAGGTTATCGGTCAGCCTTCTCGAGAGAACCCTCTGTAGAAACCTTATCATTAGAATTAACTTAGACCATCAGGCAGAGGATGTGTCATCGTAATCTGATGTGCAACTCTCCTTCGGATAAGAGATCTTCATAGAGGGTTGGAAAGATGTTCTAAGGAGCGCCATTGGTCCTCTTTGTGAAAGATCCTAGTATCGACTGAGTGAGTTGATTACAAATCATTGTTTTTCTGATTAGGTGCATAAAGCTCTTTCATTTGGTTGTACTTTCTTTCGGTTGGCCCAATATTCCGACGTACTTGCTCCTCTGTCTTTCGATTTTTTGGACGTAGTCCTTTGGCATCTTCTTAGCGAGATTCGTTGAATTTCTTAATTAGTATGGTCATGTTTTTGATGTGCACCTAAAAACTCAATAATCTTTCATTTTTTAAGCCTCAAAGAAAACTTTAAAAATTCATTTTAAAAGTTCTAAATGCATAATATAATTTATGAAAGCATGGTGTTTTTATAAATGTATTGGCTTGGTCCCTTCAATACCTTATTCTTTGGCCTTAATAGTTGCTCCACCATCAATCTTGATCAAATTTGATGATGATGGCGGAAGACAAGCCTGAGTAACATGAGGCCTATTCAAAGTGTCCCGCTTATATTACAAGAATACACAACTGACATCCATTTCACAAAGTGGACCCACGCTAATACAATGTGAGGCCAAAATTAACTATAAAATAATCCCCATATTACTCAATCAATCACACAAGTAAAAAACTTTATCGCTAGATGAGGAAGAAATAACCTATGCAATTACTTAAATTTTACGAGAAGAGAAATATCTAACTATTTTGGAGATAATTAACCCATTTCTCATTAAAATTATGATTTTTTGTAATGCTAAAAAGCTAACACCATCATCTATAACTTTTGTATTTTCCATTTTAGCCAACGCTAGAAGTTGCAAGTCAAGCAAGAGATACAAAGTCAAATGCATGATTTTGGATATCTTCTAATTAATTGGGGTAGACCTCTCATATTTCTTGTTAGAATCTTGTGATTTATGTGTCATTTGAAAACTAAATGATGTGGGAGCTTCCCTGCGATTTTGCTTGTCATTCCTACTAACGCGGGATAGCGAACTGTGACCAAATCCCATCTAGGTAGAGAGGTCCCAAAGATTTTTGTGATCCCACATGCGAGACGAGCGAAGCTTTCCTGTTATTTCACTAAAACAGACATTAAGAGCTCTATTTTTATTTATTTTTTAATTGGAATTGGGGTTATTTTGAGAGTAGGCTAGTTATATAAGTTATTTTCCTGTTTAGCTATTATTTTTGTGTTTTGGAGACTTTATTATCTAATTTATACTTTGTAGAGGATTGTATTATTTTTCATTTGTAAGTGGTGTGTTTGTATCTTGCTTATGAACGAATGGGAGACCACCCTATCTTTTGGACCTGGCCGTTTTACCGTCGATCTATTGTTTTCAGCTGGATAGCCATCGAACTGTTCTGAATTTGTTGTCCAATAGTAGATTTCATCATTTCCACTTTTGTTTTGACTCTCCCTACAACTCTCCTAACCCATTCCCTAACCTTCCCACACCCGACCAGTTGCCCTAGTTTTGCGTCTTCTAGAGGATATGTAGCGATAAATTCTCCGACTAGAATAAAGGCTTTCTATCTTTGAGAGAAGACAACCCAGACAAGCTACCCATAAATACGACGACAACTTGCCAGATTAAGAGGAGGAAGTAAATCTCTTCCACCATAAAGTTTTCAACGATGAAGACCAATACCCCAACATTTTGGCATGGAATATCAGAGAAGCCTGGATTTTTTAGTAAAAGTAGATTTACCAGATTTGATGGTTGCATGGATCTAAAAGAGTTTATTAAGTGACTCTAATATGCAAAACAAGTCTTTTGAGTACAATGACATTTCACTTAACAGAAGGGTGAAATTAGCCACTATTAAATTAAACAAGAGTGTGTTCTTATGGTGGGAAAGTTTGAAGCACCTTTGCCAACGAGATAAAAAGTAAAATCATAATCTAATCCAAGATGAAAAGGGAGATGCAATGCAGGTCTTTATTAGCACATTACAAATAGGACTTATGCTTGAGACTCCATCACTTATAGTAAAAAGATCTCAAAATACGAGTATGCAGCTGAGTTTGAGCAATATATGTTGAAATTTGAATAACTAGAACCCGAGGAGAACACCATAGCCGAACATATACGGGGATTGAAAATATCCGTCAACATTGTGATACAATCCCTATTGGACATTACATGATGTCCAAACCTTATCCTTGAGGGTGAAAAAAATAGCAACATCATCAGGTGATCGTCACACCTTATAGACAAAACTCAATCCTAGGATCAACCAACAAGAACATACCCATTGAAGCACCCAAACTAACCCCTCCCGAGGAGAAATCAATCTAAAATGGAGAAAGGTGGAGACCACCAGCACTTCCAAAACAATCCCAACCAGAAAGTCCATTATCACAATTTTGGGCACATTACATTTGATTGCACAAATATAAGGGTGATCTCTTTCGCTGAGCTGTGAGCAATAAAAAATGTAGACAGTCACGCAATAAACACTAGAGAAAGTGAGGACGCAAATGAAGAGTATCAATTTCCAGTTGATAAGGGAGAGATACTAGTAATCTGGTGGGTCTTTCCAAGTGAGCCTACGCACGTACCAGTTTCACCGTGAAGAAAAAATGTGCGGTCTTATTGTCGATGTAGACAGTTGTGAAAATGTGGTATCTGCACATGTGATGGATAACTTGAGCCTCACTACCTAGAAACATTTTCTTCTGTATTCACTGATTTGGTTGAAGAATGACAACAAGATTATTGTTGATAAGAGATGTTTGATAGAATTTTCAATTAGAGATAAGTTGTAGGATCAAGTTTGGTGTGATGTTGTGCCTATGGATGTGTGTCGCATTCTTTTGGGCCCATCATGGCAGTATAACAATTGTACATTATATGATAGCCTTAAAAACAATTACTCATTTATTAGGGATTGGAAGCACATTTTACTTATGTCATTGAAGGAATTAGCAGTAATAAGTAGTGATTGATAATCAGACAATGACAAGAATTTTAATGCCTTGTGACGTAATTTTACATGCTATGAGTGAGGCACTAGTGGAGCTAGCCTTGGTGATGCTAGAAAACAATCTTAGAAAGAGTAGATCTTTGAGACAGTGCAACCTTTACTACAGAGTTTTAGGATTTTCTAACATGCAATCTAACTTTAGTTTGTCACTGCTAAGAGTGATTCAGCATGTCATCACTTCAGAAAGAGAAGAGTAATTTTTAAGCTATTTTTTGAAGGCTCCAGGAAGTAAGATGAGTTCTATGTTCCAGTTCAGTTTAATTGTGCATTTCCAAACATGTTGTGAGATAGAAGTGGTGAATTGCTACTTGGGAAAACTTTGCAAGTGTTTTGTGGAAAAGAATATCCAACAGTGGGTTCTATGCTCTTCTGGAAACCTCTCCTTGGCAAGGAGAATGATGACGGGGCTTTCTCGATGATCCCACAGTTGTGGGATTCCTCAATTCATGAAATTGATTCCGTGAACAAAAGATAGCAAACCGGGATCGAATCCCATCTTCTGTAGAGGACTCATGAGATTTTTGTGATCCTGCACATGACACGAGCAGGGCTTTCTCGTTATTTCATTTTCACAGGCCTTTAGTTCCTTATTTTTATTTATTTTTGAATTAGAATTGGGGTTATGGCCTATTTAGATCTGTCAGTTTTCTTTTATGCAAACTTTTTGCTATTGCTTATGTGTTCTAGAGACTTTATTATCTGATTTATGCTCTTTGCATTATTGTATCATCTTTTTTTTGTAAGTGGTGTGTCTATATCTTGCTCCGGAATATGTGATGGATCCCTTTGCCTCGCTGTTTCAATGTCAAACTGCTGTTTTCAGCTGGACAGCTGTCGAATAGCACTGAATCTGCTTTCCAACAGCATATTTTGTTTTTTTCTGCTTTTGTTTCCCGTTCTACAACCTCCTAACCCATTCCCCAACCTTCCCACACCCAATTATTCGCCCTACTTTGGATGGAGATTTCTCAAAACATAAACATTCTTATGCTGTCAAATTTTACTTTTTCTAGAGACTATTTGCTGGTTCGATCTATCTGAAACTAGATCTTCAGCCATCATGATGCCAACCTTGTTTATTTGTGTACCATGCGCTAACATTCCAATCATGATATAAGGCATAACAAAAACATCAACATTACACGATTTCAGAATTGAACATTCGTTTTCAATCCTCAAATAATTTTATGGAACACAAGAGTCAAGAAAAACACTCGAGAGAACTTTTGTTTTCAGCTTTTACAATTTATGTCTAATTTTCTTTTACATGATGCAGCTAAAATGATTCCTCTCTTCAGGACGTTTGCTGGAGGACCTCTTGGTAGTGGTAAACAATGGTGAGTTTTCCCATTTTTTTCTTTAAATAGAAAATTATGAAGTAATTGGGACATTATGAAGTAACTAATTTTCCTAGAAATCAGTGAAATGTTGCATATGATCATTTAAAGTATTGGGTATCTTTTTTCTCCGGTTATAATAGACCTGGCATTTTTAGAGTATCATTTCCTTTATTCAGGTCATTTTATAGATCTGTAATGTGTTCTTAGAACACTGGTGATGCTTGGCTTATGGTGGATTGCCGCAGCAGTCTAAATATGTGAGAAATAAGTTCGCGATTCTGGCGATTCTGGCGAAAAGAAGACATGTAAGGCATTGATATGTTTTTA